TTGGTGGGCGTGGTGTGGCATGGCTTGGTGGGCATGGCGTGGCAGGGGAAGGATACTGTAAAATCTCCATTCCCTCCTCACTCCAGGGGAAGGTTACTGCAAAAATCCCCATTCTCTCCCAATCATCTGGGGCTTGGGAGGCAGAGAATAGATGGGGGCGGGGCCAGTCAGAGGTGGTATTTACTGGTTCTCCGAACTACTCAAAATTTCCGCTATCAGTTCTCCAGAACTGGTCAGAACCTGCTGAATACCACCTCTGGTCCTATATGCCTCCAAGACCACCATATGTGGAGGAAAGCTTCAGAATGACAAATGACTTAATACACACCACATTGTGCAAATGATACCAAAAAAGTGCAGCAAACTTATGCCTAAGAACAGAACTTAAATCCACCTGTGAGGAGTTTCTGATGATCTAAGAAGGAAAAATTGTTTGGGTAAAAATGTTGGGACATAAATGATGAATGGGTAAGGACAACAGCAGAGGGAAGAGGTGGGGCCGTGCAAATAACGTGACAGGTTAAGTCCTAAGCAAGCCTGCAGATTGCTACCCGGGCTGCGGTTTGTGCCCCTCTGCAGAAAGGGGCTTCACCTGACTGGATGGCAACGAAAGCACCAAAAACTATTTTAAAGAAAGGTTAGAAGTTGATTGATCTCAAACTGAAGTGAACTGGAAGCAGATTAGTTGAAACCAAAGAAAATGACCATTTGTTTGTGAGAATTTTACTGAAAGAATCTAGTTTATGTAACAGCTTAAAAAGCAGAGATATAAGTACATACGCTTTTAGTTTGGCTGAAGCGTACACATACATGGACTGACAGCTCAGGAGGATAAGTAGATGATTTTCAGGAGAAGGATGAACTGAAAGTAAGTATTTTTTTTCTTCCTTTCATCTGTCTTCTTGGGTCGTTTAATTTAGCTGCTTTTGTTTCCAGCACATCACCCTGCAAGAGCTAAATGTATTGTTCTGAGACTTCTGTCTACTTTTTAAAGGACTTCTCATAGACACAACAGCAGCCCTCTCCAGCCTGGTGTCTTCCAGATGTTTTGGATGCACTGGCTTTGATCATTGGTCATGTTGGCTGCCAATGTTAGGAGCTGTAATCCAATCCACACACATTGAATGGGAAAGCGTGGCTCCCAACTTGCTGCTATACCTCATTGCCGCTGGCTGAAAGAGAAGGGGGAGGAATGAAAATTATAGTTGGAGGGGAAGATCTAGTGAGTCTTATTTCTCCTGTCTCCATTTGTTTGAAGATTAGCATGGNGGGGGGAATTCTTTGAATATGTGTCTGAATTCTCATTATTGTAGATCAAAGTTGAAAAGATGATCTTGGCTAGTCATGGGTCCTAACAACCATTCTTTGCTGTTGATTCAGATTGTCTAATTAAAGGTGGATACGAAATAGATGAAGCAAGATGAAATAGGGCAAGATAGGAATAAATAAGACAGACCATAAAGATACGATAAATACAAATGGTCCTCGAGTTACGACTACAATTGGGACCAGAATTTCTGTTGCTAAGTGAGTTACATGATTTTACAATCTTTATGAACATGGTTCTTAAGCAAATCACATGGTTGTTAAGTGAATCACATGGTTGTTAAGTGCATCACATGGTTGTTAAGTGAATCCTCTTCCTCTTCTTCCTCCCCTTCCTCCCATTGACTTTGCTTGTTGGAAGCTGGCTCGTGAGGTCACAAATGGCCATCACCCAGCCCTGGGATACTACAACCTTTGTAGATACATGCTGGTTGCTAAGCACCTGAATTCTAACCATGTGACTGTAGGGATGCTGCAAGGTTGTAAGTGTGAGGACTGGTCATAAGTCATATTGATCTCCAAATCCCTTGCAAGACTACTTCCCATGACTTCTTGCATTTGGGAAAAAGCAGAGTCCTGGATAATTTCCATGAGCAAAGAATTCTTTAGTTCAGTTTTGGGCTCTTTTGCTTTTCAAATAGTTTCACACAACTCTAGCCTTACTATGCACAGTTTCAGACTCAGAGCTGGTTTCCTGATTTGGCTCAACATGAAGGGCTGACAATTCCAAAGCAAAACAACTTGAAACAAGGAGCATAAAGCTGTCCTAATTCATTAATCACAAGATTTTTTTTTGAAGCACAACCTTTGATTCATACAAAACAACAAACTGATATCATGTCAGGATGAAATTAAACACTGATTAAATTACCCGTTGTCTGGAAGGTGGAGAAGACAGGAGGCCACATGATTTGAAAGACTGCCTGGCATGCACTAGCTTTTCCATGCCACGATATGCAATCTGGTTGAAAAAAAAAAAAGCAATAATTATTCTTATGGTGGGTTTTTTTTTAAAGAAAGAATTGTGATAGTTTCAACTTCTGAATTAGCCAAGAAAAGAACACTTGCAGATTGGTTGATCGCATTGATTTCTGGAATGTTGATGTGTTTCTCTTTTAAAAAGTATTCTGATTATATTATAGCTCACGCCTCTGATCAGATTATCTGCCTGCCTGCCTACCTATTTACCTATCTACCTATCTAATTATCATCTATTTTCTGTGCCACCCATGTCCCCTCCAAGGAGACTCTGTGCTCCTGAATTAGCATCTGCATATATTTCCCCAACTTTTTTCTTGTAATGTCTTTGCATATTTCATGGCATATAGTTAAAATACATTTTGTTATGCTGAATACGTTCAAATTGTAGTATGTTTTTAATGAAAGTTTGTGGTAGCAAGCTGCTTTCTTCATTGTGTAAGGTATTAATCTCGTGTAATCAGAAATAACACATGGTGCAAACATAAGCAAATTTACTGAAAAAGAAAAATGTATTGTTTCAACGGCATGCTAAACTAATACTGCATTCCCATAAAGCATTTCATAGCTTCTCCAGATGGGTCTGAATACAAATTAAGGCTATCACTGTCTTAAGTGTCTGGGTTAAAAAAAAAATATCTGGCCAATCACTAGACAGCTGCAAACAAAAAGTTTTCTTCTATTTCTGCACTGCTGCACTGCAGATTTTTGTAGCCTTGGTACAGAAGCTCTATTATAAATCCCATAATGTGTAGCAAACAGCCTGGACAACCAATTCAGTCTTAGTTGTGGAAGCTATGGCCTAACACATTCAGAAGGTGTGCCTTCTGTTCCATTCTAATTCTCATGGGTTAAAAAAAGCAACCCAAATTGGTTAATCATTTTAAATGCTTAAATAAAACTGGAATGATCTTCTGAATCCAATTCAGAGGTAGGTTCCACCGGATCGGATTGGTTTGGCTGAACCGGTAGTGGTTTGCCAGCCTGGATTGCCAGAATCGCCAGCAACCAGGGCCCGCCGTGCCTCCAAACCGTTTCCCCGGTTGGCGCGGCATGTTTCCCCCCCATTTTTTAATGTTGTGCGCATGCACAGACCTATTTATGGGCAATTGCACAGACGCAAAATTGTGCATGCACCGAACCGGCAGTAAAGCTGGCAGCACCCCCCCCCCCCCGATCCAATTGCTATCTGAGTATAGTTTTATGAATGATTGGCAATGCAGCCACAGAGTCTTTTCTGTTAAAAGCAGGAATGCATTTAAGGATGAACTTGTGGGGTGTCATAAAATATTTGTTTTGGAGAGTGGCACAGGCCTCCCTTTAACAACAACAGCAGCAACAACCTTCACAAACCAAGCAGAGAATGTCTGCCAAACTGGCCAGAATATTTAAACAAGGATTCCTAATGGGATCTTTGGATGGTTAGTGAAATGTTCTAAACTAACAAGAAAATAAATCCAGGTACTGTGACTCAACCTCCAGACAATTCTACCTGGATGACTGAGATTCTTCATCAACGTTCCAAATGGGTCTATTTTCTTTCCCATTGATCAATATTGAGTAACAATATCACCATAAACAGAAGGAAGTATAAGCATCCAATTCTTTATTTTGAAATTATTATATCTCTCTTTTTTAAATAAAACAAATGGAAGTAGAAAAAAGGGAACGAGAAGGTCAGATGAGGTGAGATATCGAGGAGTAAGGCTCCCAGAAACCCTAGTTGAGATTTCCATCCAGCTAAGAATATGCCACAGAAACTAAAGAAAGACACAAATAAATCCATGCTGTTCGAGCTCTGGCCCTCAGTAATTTGCGAGTAGCATTTGATTTGCTCCTATTGTTGCAGAGATGAGACCAAACCAGCTGTTTGTCAAAGGGAAAGGTTTATTGCGCAAGGTTCAGCAGCGATAGCTCAAGCAGAAGCTGAACCCTGAAGGGCAGTTTGTTACAGGTTTTTATACTTTATCAGGCAGGATATTGATCATTCTCCTAAATACACATTCTTCCCGTGTCACGTATGCCTTGTACACATTAACCCTAGTGACAGGATATCTTGATTGCCTTATGAGGATAGAATCTTACCAATTTCCTGCCTAGATCTAGTCAGGTAGATAAGGTATTCAATCCCGTGACCCGTCAAAACCGCGGTCCACTAAAGCGCGCCCGATTAAAGCGCGTACCTGACGTCATCATCAGCACGATAAATACGACCGCGGGGAAAAAGGGCGCTTTAAAAAGCGCTTTTAAAGCTAGCCGATTCACATAAAGGTACGGGTTAGGGTTAGGGTTAGGTTAAGGGTTAGGGTTAGATTTAGGGTTACGTTAAGCATTAGGGTTAGGGTTAGGGTTAGGTTAAGGGTTAGCGTTAGGTTAAGGGTTAGGTATAGGGTTAGGTTTAGGGTTAGGCTTAGGGTTAGGTTTAGGGTTAGGTTTGGGGGGGTTAGGTTTAGATTTACCCTTTAATTTTAAGTTTACCGCTCACAGCGTGCTGTTTTCGTCGCGCTGTGATGATGTCACGTACGCGCTTTCGTCGAGCACGCTTTAGTCTACCGCGGTTTTGTGGTGGAACCATTCAATCCCCTGTGGAATGGATAAGGCTCGGGGCATTCTTGTCCGGCTTAACTTTACATTTTATGTTAACCCTTTACTTTTACTATGGTGAGCCATCATGCAGCCAGATGGCTTTCAGGGAAGTTGGTCCACCATGTTTGATCTTCTTATGAAAGAAATACGCTCCCAGAAAACTTTCCAAGGACACACACCTTTTGAAAGGCCTGAGAAATACACATCCCCTGAGGTAATCTTGTTCCATTGTTTTCTCTTGGTGAGCAAGAAGGGCCTGCACAACATAAAACAAAGGCAACGGCTCTATGCTAAGTGATCGTATGCCATTCATGGCTGGATGAGTTTAATTTTTTATGTTTTCTAGGCCCAAAGCCAAGGGGCCATGCCCTCTCTCAGAAAAGTCAACAGAATCACTTAAAAAAAAAACCATGGCATTTTCATACTTTTGTTCCAAATAACAATACCTTTAGAAATGAACCAACAGACTGTGGCAGCATCAAAAATCAGCCCTCAGACAGAGGTGACTATAACTTGAGTTGATGACTTTCCACCCCTGCATCTGGTTTTGTTTTTACCCCACACCATTTGAGTCAGAGTTACCAGCCTCCAATATTAAATATGAAATTTGTCTGGAGATGGGCTGTAAATTTTGTCAATCAAAAATAAAAGCACTTTTCATGAAGTTAAAATGGACAATTATTTGGAATACGTTCTAACATCTGATCATTTTCCATAGCCATAGCTGTATGAATACTTCGAGAATCATTCTCTGCAAATATTAATTTTAAACTAAAATAGATATTGATATATAAAAAACTTCTAAAACAAATACTTCAGTATGAATTTAAATGTATATTAAATGTTAGCTGGTTAAAGATATTGCAGGTTAATGGGGAAATGCAAATTATTATGCATATAATTACAAGCTGATATAGTCCTGAAAGGCATCGACTGTTCCATATTTACTTACAGAGAAAATAAATCCAAAAACTACAGAGGAAATATTTTAGTAGGCCAAATTGTATGAAATTAAAGGCAACTTTGGAGTTTTAAGAACGTGGTATTAGGCTCAGGCTAATAGTGGGGAATATATCTAATTGTGCAATGTCTGTTAACTGAAGTTATGGGGATCTTTCTGATATGCAAATTAATATCATCCCATCTAAGCAGAGGTGGGTTCCTACTGGTTCGGACTGGTTTGGCTGAACTGGTACTGATTTGGCAGCTTGAGTTGCTAGAACTGGCCCCGAACTGGTTCTCCTACGGTGGCGCCATCTTGATTTTCGGTTCTGCACATGCGCAGAACAATTTTCTTTGCACAAATTTAATTCCCCCCATTTTTAATGTTTTGTGCATGCACAGACATATTTGTGTGCCAATGTGCACGCACATGGAGCACGTGTCTAGTGTGCACCAAACCGGAAGTAATGCCGGCAGTAACCCACACCTGCATCTAAGGTTATAAATATGCTCCCAGAATTTTATGGGGTAGTGAGGTTAGCAGAGCTCTTGGCTGAAAGGCAAAGGAGAAATCAGATTAAGATAATCTTTATATGAGCAAACCTGGATATGATCTGAATTGTTATTCTATATTGGTATTTCTGAACCTTGGCAACTTGAAAATGTATGGACTTCAACTCCCAGAATTCCCTAGCTATCATAGCCCACACATTTTAAAGCTTTCAAGATTGAGAAACGTTGCTTTAGTGTTTTTTTTTAAGAATTATCTAGTGTGAAAGTAGGTAGAAATTCTTAGTTTTAGTAAGTTGATGTAATGGCCTATTTTCCTATTTTGCTATAAAATTAAATTTACCATTTCTCTGCTTTTCTTCATAGACTATAAGTGAAGAATTACATCCAGCACCAAATAATCTTCACAAATGTACCGCAGTTATTATTTCTCCAGCCTTGTGTGGCTCTTTCTTCTATGTCAAGGGTAAGTTGAAAAATACATTCAACACAAGAGTATATTTATTCAGCTTATTCAGATTTATTCAGTTTATACTTTAATGCAAATCTTCCTGATCTTCAGTTCCTGAACATGAGACCTTTTGAAATTCACTTTATTCTGAATGTTGTGATTCACTTCTCCAATCAAAACATGCATCTAAAATAAATGAATAGAGAAAAGTACATATAAAAATTCATGGGACAGTGAAATACCCATAGAGAAATATATTATATTAGGGAAATTGCTGCTAAAATGTGCACATTATGTCTGTACTATGAAAAATGAGCAGATTGCTGCAAAAGCAGGACAGAGGGTTTAGCCTGAAAAAATAAAGATACTGTGAGAAACTACAGTTGGCACATTTTTTCATTTTTTACTACAGGTTCTACATTTAGGCAAGAAAAATCAAATGCACAGGTATAGTTTAAGTGGTACCTTGCTCAATAGTAGTAACTATGAGAGGGATATTGGAGTCCTAGTGGACAATCACTTAAATATGAGCCAGCAGTGTGCTGCAGCTGCCAAAAAATCCAACACAGTTCTAGGCTGCATAAACAGAGGGATAGAATCAAGATCATGTGAAGTATTAATACCACTTTATAATGCCTTAGTAAGTCCACACTTGGAATACTGTATTCAGTTTTGGTCGCCACGATGTAGAAAAGATGTGGAGACTTTAGAAAGAGTGCAGAGAAGAGCAACAAAGATGATTAGGGGACTGGAAGCTAAAACATGAAGAACGGTTGCAGGAACTGGGTATGTCTGGTTTAATGAAAAGAAAGACTTGGGTGACATGATAGCAGAATTGCAAGATCTAAGAGGCTACCCCAAAGAAGAGGGAGTCAAGCTATTCTCCAAAGCACCTGAATGCAGGACAAGAAGCAATGAATGGAAACTAATCAAGGAGAGAAGTAATTTAGAAGGAAGGAGAAATTTCCTGACAGTTAGAACAATTAATCAGTGGAACAAATTGCCTCCAGAAATTGTAAATGCTCCAACAGTGGAAGGTTTTAAGAAGATATTGGAAAGCTACCTGTCTGAAATGGTGTAGGGCTTCCTGCAGGAGGTTGGAGTAGAACATGCCCTTCAAATGCGTGTCATCATGGCAGCGTCAGCTGACGTATCAGGACTTTTTTCCCCTTCACCAAACTGGGCGCTGCCCGGGGCCAACACATGATACATTTGGCCCGCAGGCCGTGAGTTTCACACCCCTGGACTAGATCTCCAAGGTCCCTTCCTACTCTCCTATTCTTTTCTATTCTATTCTATTCTATTCTACTCTACTCTACTCTACTCTACTCTACTCTACTCTACTCTACTCTACTCTACTCTACATCAATTTTGAAATAGCTGGAGTTCAGGAGAAATGACCCAATCATTGTCAGTCATGTCCAACCTTTGGCACTCCATGGATCAGCACTTTCCTTGCCCATCTATCTCACACCACCTGTTGGGCGAAGTCATCATGGTGTCCTCCTTTACAATGTCTAGTCAGCAGGTACTAATGCAGCCCCTTCTTTTTCCACTGATCACTCCCAGCATGGTTGACTTTTCGAGTGTGTCAGCTTGCATGACATGACCAAAGAATGACAGCCTCTGTTTGACAATCTTGGCTTCAAGTGATATTTTTGGTGAGGTTCAGTCTAGGACTTCTTTGTTTGTTGTGTTTGCAATCCATGGGATGTGTAATAGTCGCCTCCAGCATCACAGTTCAAAGTCATCCACCCTTCTCCTATCTCCCTCTTTCAGAGTTCAAATTTTGCAGCCATAAATACCAATTGGAAAAATTATTGTGTTGAGTAATCTGTATTTGGTGGTGAGGCTGATGCCTTTACTCTTCCAGATGTTCTTCATGCCAGATGATGCAGTTCTTTGAAGTGCTATATGCCTTCTGGTCTCAGGGCTGCAGTCACCACTTTGGTTGATTTTAGAGTCCAGGAAGATGACTTAGTATGAAATATGTAACCCAAACAGTTTTTGTGGGTTGACATATGAGGAGTTTAAAATGTTTAAAGTCAGATTTCCAGATTATAGAGATTATAGATAAAGATTCAGAAGCATTGCAGAGTAAGAACAATGTGTAAAACTCTTTTTCTCCATGGGATATTTATTTTATTAATAGGAAGATAATAAACTACTATATCCCAGTTCAGGATGATCCAAAACAACTCTTTGTATCGGGATGGAGGTGTCAGCTCATCAAAAGTTCCAGCAGCAATAGCCAGCAGGACTAAAAATGAAGTATTCTGGCAATTATAATTCTACACATACATACACATTTTGGAATATTATACCTCCAAAGGATGGGGATGACAACTTAGAGGACAATGATTCTACATCTCAGCATGAGTTGAATATCAGGATCCTGGACAAGCTAATGGCACATACACACCCACCTCACTGCTCAGGTTCTGTCTGCCAGTTAACAGTCATGTACAAGATGAGCTTAATTTTCTCCGGTCACTCTCTTTTACACATGGAAACTGACAGCCATCACTCACGTAAACTCCCGATATGCAGACAGAGAGAGGGTGCAATTCTATAGTTAAGTCCTTGTAGTAAATTTAGAGACACATACTTCTGACTAGGCAGCATAGGATTGCTCAATTCAAATCCCCATTTTCAGGCTGGAGTTCTATGCTTATTACCTAGCAATAAATTTCACGGAAGAATCAATCTTCTCAATGTATATTGATCTATATGATGTCATGGAATATTAAAAGGAGCTAGTCGATAATATCTTCCCAAAGAGATAGGCTAGTCATTCTTTCTTTTAGCTGAACACAAACATATAAAAAGGCCCATTTTTTCTCTAGATCCAAGGTTCAAGGTTCACGCTACCATATCCAAATGACCACTAGAGGGCAGAAAAGAGACAAAGTAATTCTAGGATGCCACTTAGTGGTCATGCCTATTTTTGCAACCCAAGTTTAGCAAGGTCCATAAACTTCATCTCATTCTAATGCATCACCACTATAATGGAAAGTACAGGCCTGTAATTGTGAAATGGAAACAGCTATTTATTTTCTAAAGTTGCTGTCTAACTAGTATTTTACTGGTCTGACTACAATTTCATCTCTCTTCTGAGCAGGAAGTATAATAAGAAAAAAAAAGGTGTACGTAATGTTCTGTGCTTGTGATTTCCCTATTTTCTTTTAAGATGCAAACGTCTTTCCAAGATGACCCCTTTCTAATATGCACGCTGTGTTAATATTTTCTGTTGTCATGGTACTGAACTGTGCCGGGTGTGGGACCTGGGAAGTCGGAGGGGATTAGGGAGGGGGGTTCATTGGGGGTGGGTGGGTGGGTCGAGATATAGTTTCAATATATAGAATAAGAAGAATACACTTGTATACTGTTGTTCCTTATTTTTTCTTTTTATTTTTCTCTCATTTTTTCTTTTTATTTTTTTTTCTTTTTCTTTCTTTCTCTTTTCTTTTTAGCGCAATTTTTAGTAACTGAATAGATTAAGGAATAGAGAAATGCACCAAAGTGAGAAGTAGAGGAAAAGAAGAGGGAGAAGTAAGGAGGGAGGAAGAGGGGAATGTAAGGAGGATGAGAGGGGAAGGAGGGTGAGGAAGGCGAGAAAGGAAGATAGGAGGGGAAAGGGAAGTAGGAGGGGTGATTGTTGGAGGGAGAAGGGAAAGTTGGAGGGGGAGAAGAAGGGGTGTATGAAAGCGACAGGTTGGGTTTATGATGAGTTGTGGTTTTTTTAATATTATTATTATTGCAAATATTCAGTATATAAGTGAATGTATAAAATTGAAAATGAAAATGAATAAAACATTTGAAATTGTAAAAAAAAAAAAATTCTGTTGTTGTTGACATGGACTTCTGCACCTAGTCAAAAGAATTTTGCTTCAAGTAATTTTTTTTTTAAAGTCTCTGTTTTTCTAACTTCTCTTCAGGGATAAGCTGTTTTCTCTTCTTCTTGCGAAAACAATTTGGAGGAAGGCATAAATTGTTGGTGATCCAGCTTCTAAGTTACAAATATCTCAGTCATTCAAATTAAAAAGTTTTGAAAGAAGACTGAACATTCCCCAGAAAGAAAGAGTTCTGTTAACTCCATAGCTTTCAATAGTCATGGCCAGAGGTGGTATTCAGCCGGTTCAGACCAGTTCATCAGAACCGGTTGGAAATCATGGGTGAGCTCTATGCCGTCCTATTTAGGCACGTTTTCAAGCCATGCGCATGTGTGTAAGCCGCACGTGCAATCAAAGTGCATGCGCCAAGTGCATGCATGGATGGGGCATGTGCGAGTGCACTCACATTTACAAACTGGTAGGGAAAGTAAGTGAATACCAACCCTGGTCATGGCATATTGCCACAGCAATTGTTCTATATACTTTGGAACATAAATGAACACTATGAATTTTGTGCTTCATGGGATTCCTAGAGAGTAGAACCACTGAGATGACCACTCTGAAAGGATACCTTATGTTAGGCATATATATAACTATATTTGAATAGTTGTTCCCATTTGAAAACGTGGGAAGCATCTGTTTTTTCATGCAAAAAAATCTGGACAGTTTCTTTGTCCAGCATCCTTCTCGGATTGTGTTTGTTGGCAATAAGACCAGCTAATTCTCGAGCAGCAAAAGAAGCAAATCCCTCCCACATTCCCAATGAAAATATTCTATTGTTCAGATCCAAATGCTTCAATGTGGGCTTTGTCCCTGTTTGCTTAGAGATTAAAACTAAAGGCAAAAGAAGCTAATGGTTTATACAGGGGACTGCAGTAGTTTATCTTTGAGTTCTGATATATTATAAAATGTTTTTATGCTTTCTGTCCATTTGGACATATCATACGCTGTCCTACATGTTTGTGGTTGTTGCTGCTGATATCTGGATTCTAAAATAGACCCCTGAAAACTCTGGTAACTTGGACAACGGGGAGTCCCTTGTCCCATCCTTTCGATTGTTCTCTTAGCCCAGAGAAAGGTGCAAAGTGCTTGCCTGTTATTATTAAGTCCCTCTCCTTACAGTGAAAACAGATATGGGTAGCCATCACCACTTCTGGCATTATCTAAACAGGATGACTCTAGTAAAATAGAAGCAAAGAATTCAGTAGAAGTAAAAAGTGCTGTCAGACTCATGATTACTATTTTTTTGCCACCATAGATTATCAGTTCTTCCCATACAATATTGAGAACCAGTTTTGTTTAGTCATTAAGGCACCAGGTTAGAATCCAGGAGATTATAAATTAGGCACAAAGCCAGCTGGATCACTTTGGGCCAGTCCCTCTGTCTCAATCCTACGAAGCAGGCAATGGCAATCCACTTCTAAAATTTTGCCAACAAAACTGCAGGGACACTGATTTGGAAGCATACACGCTACTCCTACAAGTAGAAATAGGTTTCTCTCATTGTGGACAGCCTTTCCTATACTACTCTTCCATACTCACCAGGGGTGGTATTGACTTACCTTCCCTACTGGTTCACAAATGTGAGCATGCATGCGCCACCTCCACACATGCACACAGCCTTCCGCATATGCGCTTTTGGCAAAAAAAGTGCTTAAATGGGATACCATACAGCTGGGGCAGATGGGCGGCACCACCTGTGATTTCTGCTAACGGTTCAGGCGAACCGGTCCAAACCGATAGAATACCACCTCTGATACTCACCCACATGAACATAAACCCATAGAAACATCCCATTTTCTACTCTGATTCTTCATCTCATAAAGGGCAAGCATCCTTTGGGTACTAATAGAAAGGATATATTTCAGTCCAATGCTTTCTAGGCTTTGCTCCAAAATCTCTTGTAGCAATTGGCAGAAGACTATGTATTCCTACAAGGATTATTTTTAAAAATCCCTGTTCCTATTTCCACATGTCCTTATTATCCAAAATTATACTGTCAGAGAGGGCAGGAGAACAAGTTTATCATTTAACTACTAGAGATGTATTTCAAACTCTGATCAGAAAGCTTTCTCCTCCTGTTGAAAATGACACCTTCTGATTTACACTGATTTTTGATGGCAGGTGAGCACTGTCATGCATTCCAGGCCACACTCCAACAAAAGGAAGGCATTCAGCAGTAACTATTACTTGATTGGGATAAGTAACTCATATCCTTATTAAGAGCATTTGAAGTGCTTTGTTCTGTTGCATTATTTACTGAGCCATTATTTTTACCCTGGTTACAATTAGAAAAGATCTCCCAGTGCAGAGACAATGGCTGGATGTTCCAAGTTCAAAAGTAAGTCTTCGGTATTACTATTTTGTCTGCATTCTTCTCACAAAAGAACTCTGAGCCATGCATTCCCTAGATTTTCATAATTAATGATTCCAAGGAAGTGACATCTTGAACCTCTCCCCCAATTAATCTGATATTTGTTATTGCTTTTTGCTCTGCTTTTATAGCCTTCGTTCCTCATTTCATTGCTCCTTCTGTTGCAATTATCACCTTCCTCCCCCTGCCCTGTTTATCTTTTTTTCAAGTGGTCCTATCTAATTAGCCCTTATCTATTTTGATGAGTCAGTATCAATTATTGTTACTTAATTTGGTTTGGTGGGCAATCCAAATCTGTCAGGACCACAGTTTAAATGCTTTTTCATCCTTCCCTAAACATTACCCTTTTTATTTCAATACACATTTTCACAAAGCAGGCCTTTTTTAGTCTCTGCAAAATACTTTTTATATTATTTAAATTTTGCATGGTCCATGTATGGCTGCCTTTGGTCATACACTGATTTGTTGTTGATATTGTCAAATAACTTATTTTATCAAGGTCATTCTATTTTCTACCATCATCACTAATTTGGGGATCAATTATTTTAATATTATCATGGGCTAATTTAATATACCCTGTTATACTCTCTTTTGGAGATCAATCGATAAATGCTGCAATTTATATTTAGTGTTTGACAGGAGGTGAAAAACAGGATTGCAACTTCATAGCCAAGTCAAGAAAAATAATCTTTATTTGGTTTTATTTATTTGTTTGTTTACCATATGGCATCTACAGAGGTCATGCAATCACTGATATACACATTTCGTTTAAAGAAATCTTTATTTGGTTAATGGCCAGCACAATTTCATAGCGGATAAACTATGCTACTATTATACTATTTTTTTTTTCCTTTTCAGAAAGTTTATTTTGTGTCAAAAAGTTCACAGCGCTGACTATCCAGTTGCATCCTACCTCCCTGGATTTGGAAACCTTACTAAGGGATACAACAAATATCTACGGCCAAATTTTGGTGGTAAGTCATTCCTGTGGTTTCAGTCAAACAAAACAATCATTTGTCTTTGTAGGGAGAAATTATTTTCCTACTTTTCTATAGTAGAATAATGTTAATGTTAGACTTTTGGGTGTGATTTGTTCCTAGCTAGGCTATTAATTCTTGCTCATTCCTGTGCCATATGATTCATTTCAACAACTCTGTCTCAATTTCTAATTTTAAAGTCAAGGAAGAACCTGGAAAAGTTGTTGAAGTGAATGTTTCTATTGGCGAGAAGATTTTGATTCTGAATACATTCTTAATATAGAATACATTCTGAAAAATGTATTGCAGTCTAAATGCTTAGATCACCTCTCCGCTTAAAAAATACTTTGAACTGATTGGTAACTGCAACTTTTGCAACCCTGGTGCTCTCAAATTGTTCGGACATCAAGTGCCATAATTTCCAGCCCATACAGCTGGATAGCCCCAGACTGGAGACAACTGGGCTAGGTAGGGGGGCATCAGCACTTCTGTTCAGTCACATAGTATGGGAAGGCTGGGTAAAGTTTTTAGAACCATCTTCCATAATTCTGACAATTTTTCTTAATGTGCACATGTAACCAGATTATGTTGTCAGGCCTGCAGCCATCTTTTCTTTTGGATCTTTGGCCTGCCACACTTTCTATTATTCTACTATGTATTTTCTATTGTGGGAAAATGGGAGGGGGGATTGTAAGGAGTTACATACTAGGTAGCCATAACAAAATTCTTTCTAGAAAGCCAAGGTCATCCTTTGTCTCTGCACCTCTGTACCTGACCGGAACTGGATGGGTGGAACTGCCAGCATGGCAGTGGGAGATTGGACCATGTGATGGATTTGTGGGTGTGGAGGCAAGATCTTGAACTTTCAACTCGGTGGGGAAAACCGGGAAGCTTTCAGATTCGGGTTTTCCCAGAAGTGCCAATATGGCTCTCTTAATAAATTGGAACTTTGAGCAATACTTTGCCTTGGACTCTGATTTACTTTTGGATGCTATTTGGAACCCTGACATATGTATTGTTTGGGTTCAGTGGTTCAGAAAAAGAAAAGAACAAATGATGCCCATTTAGTACAAGTTCCTTTTGTCCTCAAATGGATACAGGATGAAGAATCTGGTCCATTTGACCAGAAGTTTTATTAATGATTGCTCTTTAGGGTGGGAAGAACTTTATCTTTGCCTGACATTTAGGGCTCAATCCAGTCACCAATTCTCATTGCATTTCCCCAACTCTCAGCTGTAGAGTCAGAAACATGTTTCTATAAGATTCTGATATTCATTCATGAAAATATAGCTCTGTGGACGTAACCTTCCAGGTGTTCTCTGCGCAGATAAATACATCCATGCATTAGGGACATATACCTTTGGTCAATGTAAGAAGTCATATGTTGACTTCTGCAGGGGATTATCATGGAAAGTGAAATCATGGATATGGTTCAATAGTGGAATTCAAATAATTTAACAACCGGTTCTCTGCCCTAATGATTTCTTCCAGCAATCAGTTCACCAAATTGCTCAGAAACTTAACAACCGGTTCTTCCGAAGTGGTGTGAACTGGCTGAATCCCACCACTGGTTCAGGTTACCTAAAGGAATTTCTATATGCTAGGATGCTGCTTTTGGGCTCCCTTATTGTTCTTCTTGTTCCCTGATTTCTCACTGAAATCAGTGTCTGTTATTGGAGATGGGTGAGAAACATCTGCTGAGTTTCTATGCATGCAACAAGAAATATAATTTTGCTACTATAATGCTACTTCCTTTTCATTTCCTAGGAAAACCTGTGACAATAGCAATGACCCTTGACGTTGCAAGTATTTCCAGCATTTCAGAAAGTGATATGGTAAGCAAATAATCCCTGCCGCGCACATAAGGAAATAGAACAGTATAGTATAACTACTGCAGCTTTGAGAATACAAAGTCCCTTAGACTGCTAACATTTTGCAATCCAGATTGACCCAGAATTAAGTTCCAGTGTGTTCACTGATGCTCTCTCTCTAGTAAGTGTACTTAGCACTGCAGAAGTACAGCTTGAAAGTAATTTCATGGCTTTAATAACATTTTTTAAATTCCCTCCTTTAAAAAATAATAATATTGGGCATTTGTATCACTGGTGGAGAGAGCATTTAAGGGAACTTGGTTAGAATAGAATAACAGAGTTGGAAGGGACTTTGGAGGTCTTCTAATCCAAGATTTTGTTTCACATTCTGGATTTGAGAATCACACTTCATTCTACCACGAGGAACCTTTTCCCCCAACATGTCAGTGGAATTGATGTATATTCAGAGTGTAGATTGTGGTGCAGTGGTGGGTTCCTACCAGTTTGGGCCAGTTTGGCTGAATCAGTAGTGGTTTGGTGGCCTGGTTTGCTGGAACTGGCAGCAATCCAGGTCGGCCATGCCCCTGAACTGGTTCTCCGGGCGGCGCTACAGGCACCACCATCTTGTTTTTTGGTTCTGCGCATACACAGAACAATTTCAATTGCACTGACTGTGCATGTGTGCGTGGTGTGCACACGAGCAAACCGGCAGTAGTGCCTGCCGGAACCCACCCCTGTTGTGATGTAACAGGTCAGGTAAAAGAGTTGGCTAAAGTCTCTCAATTGTCTGAAGAACTGCTACTGACTAATTGTCAGAGTATGAATATTCATAGACTGGAATAGGCAACAGTTCAGCCAATGGGGACTGTTTGGATAGACATGGAAACAGGTCAGCTAACGGGAGGCTGTTTGGAAACAGTATTTGCTGTGTGAGCAACAAGGAGACATCAAAGAACCTGGGTGTGGCTTAGCTCTGTAGTTCTGAGTCTGTGCTGAGCTTTAAACTAATCTGCTGCTCTGAACTGAAACTGTTCTCTCCCTCTGCTTGTGTTTTGCTTGTATTTACTACCACGTTGGAAAATCTGCTTTTGGTATTGTATGTGTTATATTATATGTAAAGAGAAGTTAATAAATCCTGCTGAATCAGTTACCTCTGTGTGCTTTCTGGATGTGATTGCTGCAACAAACTCTGACATTAATTATGCATGAGATTTTATTTTTACAGTTTCATGATAAAGGATGGGATATCAGTGTTGCTTTAGGGCTCAATCAAGCCCCATCTAGCTGTAACTTACTGGCGATTCACTAGCCATTCTTGAGGGATATATCTGCATCTCCTTTGTCTTATCCCCAACCCATAACTGAAGCCACATGACTTTTTCCTTCGCTGATTAAGTGTTAAGTGTTGTCTTCTCTCACTTTCTACCACAAACCCTGCCACAATCATTACTGTGTGTTTAGTAATAATTAGGGGATTCAGGGATTGGCATCTCCTTAGCTCTTCTGGACTGTTACAAGCAGTCTTTCGCCCCTCTCATGCTGGTGATTTCCCTCTATGACTTGTTTTAATTTCAGCAGCAGATGCAACAGGCACTAAGTACAGGTTGAGCATTAAATGGGCACTTTGTTAAGACGAAGGCATCAGTCACGGGGTGGGTGGGGATTGCACCACCTGATCTGCAAATGGGGGAAAAAAGCAAGTGAGGCAGAGATTCCCATCTATTCATGGTTTAAATTTTTTTATCTCTCTCAAACCTCCCCCCACCCCGACAGGAATGTGATTGGAAAATGTACCAATCACTTTCTGTAAATTTTTAACGGTGGCACTGCTCGCAAAAAGAATAGAAATTGGCTTCGAGGATAGAGAAAAGATATTTTATTGCTCTAACCATGCCAAGTTGGTGCAGTGATTAGAGTGCAGCATTGCAGGCTACTTCTGCTGACTGCTAGTTGCCTCCAATTTGGCAGTTCAAATCTCACTAGGCTCAAGGTTGACTCATCCTTCTATCTTTCCGCGGACTCAGGTTGTTGGGGGCAATGGGCTGACTCTGTAAACTGCTTACAGAGGGCTGTAAAAGCACTATGAAGCGGTATATAAGTGCTATTGCTAGTGCTTTTTATTGCTGCCCCATGGACCAGAGGAAAACAAATGATGTCCTCTTAAGAAGAGGTGTGCTCTACTTGCTTCCTTAGCCTGGGGGAGATGACTTCTCTAGTGAATTTTTTCAGCCAGTACTGACGTAAAATAAAACTTGATATTTGAATGTTTCATATTTGACTTGACATATGATGACCTAAAAATGTAGGCAGACAAAAAGATTCACCCACACCCAGATTGTATCTGCCTGAAAGGTATGAATTTAAACAATTTTGGGTAGTTATGGAATGGTATTCATGGCCTGGAACAGTACATGTGAAATTCTTAGCCCACTAAAACCTGTTTTTTAAACAGAATCTGCATAATTAACTATCTGCATAATTATCTATCAGGAATCATCTATCAATGATTCCTATAGTGTGCAAGCAGTTGACTTCTTATGCCCCTTCCAACTCAATAATCCTATGGACAGAAAAAGAAAAAAAAAGAATATAGAGCAATTTGAGAACTACATGATCCAGCATGGGTACTAGAAGTGGTGTTCAGCAGGTTCTGACCAATTCTGGAGAACCAGTAGTGGAAATTTTGAGTAGTTCGGAGAACTGGTAAATTCTACCTCTGATCGGCCCCCGAGTCCCAGCTGATCAGGTGGAAATGGGGATTTTGCAGTAACCTTCCCCTGGAATGGGGAGGGAATGGAGATTTTACAATATCTTTCCCTGTCACACCCACCAAGCCACACCAAGCCCACCAAGCCACGCCATGCTCACTGAGACACACCACTCCCACCAAGCCATGCCATGCCCACCAAGCCATGCCCACAGAACTGGTAATAATTTTTTTTAATCCCACCACTAATGGATACCTATAAATACTGCTTATTAAGACAAGGATCAAAATTAGTTAAATATTAAGTGTTAATTTTGGAGAAAATGGTGAAACCATTACTTGTTGAAAGACCTTGTTTGGCAAATTTTATTTAAATTACAAAAATTATAGACTTGATTCTCATCCTTCTAGGACTATACTGCAACAATATATTTGCGACAACGCTGGACCGATCCCCGTCTCGTTTTTCAGGGAAACCGAAGTTTTACTCTGGACGCCCGGCTGGTGAAATATCTGTGGGTACCTGACACTTATATTGTGGAGTCAAAAAGATCTTTCTTACACGAAGTTACAGCAGAGAATCGGCTTATACGCTTGTTCTCCAATGGGACAGTCTTGTATGCTTTGCGGTAAGTCTTGCTTGCCTTGCTTGATACACCCGTTTTGCAGAAGGGTTGGTAAGCTCATGTTTAGTCCAGTAAGATGAAGATACAGTTGGAGAACCGGTGGGCTGCAGAGGTGGTATTCAGCCAGTACTGACCAGTTCTGGAAAACCGGTAACGGAAATCTTGAGTAGTTCGGAGAACCGGCAAATGCCACATCTGACTGACTCTGCCCCTATCTGCCCTCCTGGGACTCGAGAGGCAGTGAGTCACTGCTCCCGAGTCCCAGCTGATCAGTTTCCCAGCTGGGTCTTCTTTTGTTGCCCTGCACAGGAGAATGGAGCTGGAAAGCAGGTTAGTGGGGTGGAGAGGGAATGGAAATTTTACAGTATCCTTTCCCTGGAGTGGGGAGGGAATGGGGATTTTGCAGTATCCTTCCCCTGCCACACCCACCAAGCCTCACCCACCAAGCCGGGCCACGCCTACAGAACCGTAATAAATGGTTCAACTAACTTTCAAAGAGGTTAATCTTCCCCTAAAGGATCAAGTTTGAAGCTCCATCTTTGATATTAGAACTACAATGTTCTTTTACATGGAGTGCTTTGTAACAGCTCAGGTTGGCATCCAGGTCCTATCTGGGTAATGATGGCTTGATTTCCATGATCTTACATCTTCTCACCTAGATTACTGCAGTCAATACTAGTGATGGCAAACCTTTTGGGGCTCAGCATGTCAAAAACTCCTAACTTGATTCTTTCATCCATCCACTACACCCTCCAAATCAAAAAAGAAGCAATTCATATTCATTTCTATATAAAAATATGGGCCAACCATATGTATGATATCCAGGATCTGTTGTGTGGCACTTATGTGAAGGCTGCACCAGAGCACACTCCATTCTCGCAAAACCTCATCAGTTTGTGTCTAATGGAGTAATATCTCGGTCCTCTTATTTTTGTAAGTGAAGCTATTCTAGACGCACACTAACCACCAAAAGTCCCAAAGGTGCTTTTTCCAAAAGGCAACTGGATTCTTGTTTTTTTTCTTCTTTGAAAATGTTTCGCTTCTCATCCAAGAAGTTTCTTCAGTTCTAACTTAGGACTGAAGAAGCTTCTTGGATGAAAATTGAAATATTTTCAAAGAAAAACCAGGAAAGTCCAGTTGCCTTTTGGAAAAAGCACCTTTGGGACAACCATGATCTGGATGATTGAGAAACTCCATAAATTTCAAAGCTTAATTTGCAGCCAGTGTAAGTATTAAAACAGTTGCTTGATCTTAAAGGAGAAACATTGCCATCTATGGACTACTATGAAGAATACAGATGCCCCATAATAAATACCTATGTGGCTTCTCTTCTTCTGCAGAATCACCACCACTGTTGCATGTAACATGGATCTGTCCAAATATCCACTGGATACACAGACTTGTAAGCTGCAGATGGAAAGCTGTAAGTAGGTCACTCAAGAGGAAAGTGAACATTTTTTCCTCTTATCTGGTCTCAGTTTGTTAATGCATAATTAGACCCCCAATTTGAACATCTCATTTGTATTTTTGACTGTAAAGGTTTCTACTCATCCTTTTAAATATGGAATTATTTAATTCATGCTAATGTTACAGAAAAACATGGGAAGAACAGTGCCATACTCAGCTAGACAGTCCAACATCTCAACTTTACAGCCATCTTTATGCATTCAAAATTCACGAATGGGCTGATTATGTGTTGGAATACTCCAGACTAGTGGGCTTGAATTTTAGGATGTCTAGAGGGTTCCCTTTCTTTGTAGATGCCTAGATGACTTCTAATTTATTATCTTAGTTCTTTTAACTATAATCAAGTAAGCATCTGGAAACAGTGCCTCTTTCTTTAATGCAAACTTTATTGTACCTGAGCATTACATTTTAATAATTATTTATTTATTAGAAAACGTATATCACCGACTATTCGCACATGGCAATTCAAGGCATAAAAACAGGGATATAAAAATACCATATATAAAAAAATGAAACCAATAAAAGAAAATAATAACATAATAGAATAATATAATAGCTCCACACCCCTTGCCTCAGCAACAACACATCACACAAGCCATTTTAAAGGGCTCCATCTTGCTCCGGGTTCCCCAGGCCTGCTGGCAGAACCAGATTTACAGTAAGTGCCTTCTGGAAGAGTGTTAGAGTGGGACATTTGCTGATCTCTACCTAAAAACAAGCTGAATGGGGGTGGGGTGGGAGGGTTGCCTCTTTTGTTTTGTGTCATTCCATATTTTTCAGCTTCTTGAGGTCTTGAAAGCCTACTTCAGAAAATGTGACAGATGTGGCACTAGGTTTCTATCCTCAGAGTGACATTTCTTGATTTTAGATGAGGGCATTCAATGCACTTTTACTATCATTGTTACAGTTTTACAAAACACAGCCCTGTAATAGTTCTCCCTTGTTCAGAGCTACTATTATGGGAGCAAGTTCTCAAGAATTGCCACCACAGCATTTTGGGATGTAATGAAGAGCATTGATTGATGCGGAAAATTAAAAAACCTTCTGCTTCTATAATATACTGGTTTGAAAGATGTCTTCCATTTCGGTCAAATAATCCTCATGTGGTCAGCATCAATGTAACACTCCTGACCCATTGCAGGATCTGCAATTGAAATAAAACAGCATGTAAGGAAGTAAGGAAATATCCAAAGGAATTCAAGTGTAATGAAGGAAATTTTGTCATTCCACATCAAAACAACTCAACAATTGTTAGGGTAAAGGAAGGTTAGGCAAGTGAGCAGCCACCATTCTTGGAGGGGCTTCAAACCATCATCTATATCTATTTATCAATTGGCCTCTTACTTTGACATAGTTAATTGGTAGTTCAGTTAGGGTTCAGCTCAGACAGTAATTTGGACGTGACTTCAGTGATGGATTGGGACATTTCTGTGACTCAGGTGAGATACAGGATAAATCTATTTCTTGTAAATCCTTCTAACTTCCTTTGGGATCAAATATAAGTGTACCAAAGATCTTTGGAGATCTTTTCTGTTGTTATCATCTATTTCTAGATTCACAGTATTTATTGTACTTGATCTGTACTGAAGGACGTTTATTGACAGATGGGGTACATACTCAGTGTCAGCGCCAGATTAGAACTTCTAGTCATCAGAACACTGGTTAGCATCGATCTAAAGCAATTTCTCTCGTGATTTGGGGAGTTTGGAAATCCTTTAACTCACTTTAGTATGGCAATCTGAACAAGGAAGATGGAACAAATCTTGTCAGCTTTTACTTTTAACCTGTGAAATTTCAAACGGTGCACATGCAAAAACGGTGCACATTCAAGAACATTTCCTTAGAAGCTAGCTACCTAACTGAGAGTGACAGTATCTTAGGAAATAGCAATAGCACTTAGACTTATATACTTCACAGTGCTTTACAGCCCTCTCTAAGATTTACAGAATCAGCATATTGTCCCCAACAATCTGGGTCCTCATGTTACCAACCTCAGAAAGATGGCAGGCTGAGTCAACATTGAGCCCCGTCAGGATCGAACCCCAGCAGTTGGCAGAATTAGCCTGAAATACTGCATTCTAACTACTGCACCACCATGGCTCTTAATCAGCTCAGTCAATATCCAGAAAAAAATGCACAAGTGACTATTAAATTGACTTATTATCTGACAGGTTTTCTGCCACTAGATTGAATCTGAAATGGAATCACTTGAAATATATTACAGCATTATGCCACAAATTTTGCTGGAGAGGAGACCATTGATCCTGACTCCTAAACAACCCTATTCTTCTGCTGGTCTAGACTTTACATGTATTATTTATATCATTTTGGATAACAAAGTTACAGCTAAATTTAAACAGACTTGCTTGAATATTATCTGTCTATTGTCCATCCATCCATCCATCCATCCATCCATCCATCCATCTATCTTGATACTTAGTAGCTTTACTTGTTACATTCCACCTTTCCACGAAAGGCATTTTTAGCACATTTCATCCAAGTAATATAGTTTTCCAATTTTGCTAGCATCTTTGTGACTTTGCCACTAATTTTTCCGCTTTAAATATGTCCAAAAAAGGTAGCATTTTCCTCTCTTATTTTGCATTTATTGCAGCGTTTCAAATATGGAATGGAAGTATTTTCTCATCCTCTTATCATATATATATTTTAAAGACGTCAACAATATATACCCACCTAAACTGCTTCTCTTTCTTTTCTGACATTTTCTCAGTGCTTGCTGTTTAGACACACATATGAAGCCTAAAGAACTTGAAGACTTTTCTCTTTGTTCTTCTCCTCGGTAACAAGTTCAATAATTACTTAAATCTCATTATATTAAGGCCAATTTTTAGTTCTCAGCTACCAGAGTAAAGTTCCAATGGAAGTCACTATTATTTTCACATTAAAATCGTATTAGTTTGCATGATTAACTTTATTTACAATGCAAAAAACTAAAATAGTAATGATTAATTTCCTTTTTTAATATGTAGGTGGTTTTAGCATTTAAAAAAATATTGGCACAGAAAAGAGAAGAAATAATTGGTTCCCGTATCAAACTTTCATGCAATATTATTCTTATTAAACTATATGCTCATTGCCAACAAGAGAATCCAGTACGATAAATGTCTAGAATTAATGCAATTTAAATATACTAAATGAACAACCTCTAGATGAAAAACAAATCATTTATTACATAGTTTCCCTAAGTAACTGCTGCTATCACTATTATGAGGTAGGCAGAAATTTTGAAAGAAAGAGATTTGATAAATTGTACTGGGAGAATAAAAACCTCCTGTAGTATTAGATACTTGATTTAATCATGTTTGCCTAGGGTAAAACATAGTTTCTCACTGTGGGATATTCATCAGGGCTTTTTTACTGATGATATTGTCTTTTTTATTGAATGACAGATCTATACATAAATTACCAAGAAGCTAAAATATTTGCTTGTTTATTGCACTTTGATTTTAGGCGAGCTGCGTAACTCTTGGATTTTGAAATGATTTATTTCTGAGGAATGAGGGACGGGACAGACTTGTCCCAATGTCTGAATTGGTTAGACAGTTGCATCCTAAACCTTTATTTAGTTTGCTATAGAAATAGCTATTTTAGATTGATTGGAAATCTCATTCGAAGTATATATCTTCATTATTAAGAGGGAGAGAGGGGGGGAGGAGGGAGGGGGAAGGAAGGAAGAAGGGAGGGAGGGAGGGAGGGAGGGAGGGAGGGAGGAAGGAAGGAAGGAAGGAAGGAAGGAAGGAAGGAAGGAAGGAAGGAAGGAAAGAAAGAAAATTCACATTAGGGTAACTGGCAGTCCTCTTTCTTCCCTTGTTGTTCTAGTCTAATTTTCATGGGCAGCAATCTAGCCAAGTGATTCCTTAGAGGTGCATTCCTGTAACAGCTGAAAATGAGAACTGAGCAACTTTCTGTTTATTTGCTCTGAAACAGCAAGGGTTGGAGGAGCTATTAAAGGTGTCATGCTAAATGAGGCAAGGGAAATATAGGAATCATCCTGCAAGAGATTGGCAATCAGGGAAAACTCTAGGTGGCTACCCTACAGTCCATCATAAATTAAAACTTTTGAATCAAGGAAAGATATAGAAGAGATAAAAGAACATGACAGCTCATAGAGCCCATCAACTAGGAGGTTGAAGGAGGAGTTATTCCAAGACTCAGATGGAATGCATGAAATCTGTCTGTATTTTGTGTTTTCCATTTTTTCTATGAAATAGTGAAGAATTTTTGCTTTGAGGAATTATGTCTGTACCGGGGTGTTAAACTTGTGGCCTGCAGGCTGGATGTGTCATGTGCTGGGCACGCCCACCTCTGGGATAGTGAAGGAGAAAAAAGCTGTGATATGTCATGTGATGGCATGTCATCGCGAGTTTGACACTCCTGGTCTATACCTTTGAAAGTAAGTTTCACTCTAAATGCAAATATTGTTATTGCTACATCTTAAACCTTTAATTGGTTTGATTATTTGCCCCTTAAAATGGATAATCAGTCTGAATTAATTACCATGAGCTGGCTTGACATCAATTAGCTGCACTAGCGCAATGCTGACCGCCATTCCTCTCAAGATAAAGGCAGCATCCAAAAGTAGGAGTTGCTGAGGGGGGCTGGTGGAAGTGAGCTTCCCATCTCCCAGCTCTTCTGAATCCAATTTAAAATGCACCTAAGTTTGTTGCATTTTTTTTATTTTTTTTTATTAGTTTTATTACAGAAAAAACACAAAAAGAAAAGAATAATCTTTCATTACATCTTATAGAAAGCGTATCCATTGGTCACAAGTACATTTCGTGCGTTCCTTCCACAATCACATATATTCATTC